TAATATGTATGTATGTATGTTTGTTTACAGTTTTAATGTTTGTTTGTATGTATGTATATAATAAATGTATATGCACTTGGCTGTATTTTTGTGTGTTTAAATTTTGTGTGATTTTTCCATGAATTTTCTTATCGGCTAGATATAATTAAATAGAAAATGTGTTCAATATTGCCGAGGGAAAAGAATATAAATGTGCTATTTTCGAAATGTTAATAAGTGGACTGTATGTGTACATGTTTTTATATCTTTATGTTTATCCCTGAACATTTTGCGAGCGGGAAAAACTTATAGTAATTTTATCTTTTGATTTACATTTGTATATGACATAAAATATTAAAAGGCATATGACAAGTAAAACTATTAGTATTAGGGCCAAATGTACGCTATGATTTTTTAAGTTTAGGTTGCTTATCTCTAGTTCATTTTTGGTATCTCTGTTGATGTGTTTGATGATTTCCGACTGATAATGTTTGCCGGAGAATTTATCAATGACACTTGAACTTTTAGTCTCTCTTTGATGTAATGCTGGTTATTTAGCAGTAATCTAAAGTTGGATTCTATTTGCTCTTCGCTGTCAGCATCCATTAGCCCAAATAGCATATTATAAATAGGGGAGCCCTTCGTTGCCTCTTATTGTACACAATTAAATCGTGACTACTTTTTATCGCTTCATACCGCCTTCCTAGTGACAGCGATATAACCGTGCAGGCTTCCTCGAAATCTGACAACAGGTTGCAATGATGTAGACAGCCTGGCATCATATTCATCTGCTCAAAATATGAGTGGAGGTCATAGTGGATTACCAAATCCCAATTCGAAGTTATGACGTCCATCTTTCCCAGTGAATCCAAATAGATAGCTGTGTTGTCTGGAAGTTGAGCCACTACTTCATTACTTGCTGTTTGACCACCGACTGCTTTGACTTCATTTTTCGACGTTATGCAAAACAGGAACATAAAATATGTTTTTATTTGTCATGTGTTTTGGCGATTTAGTTGGCCTAAATGTAGTCAATACTCGTGCTTTTGTTTCATCCGTTGACTTTTCCTGATTGCTGCCTGACGATGTAACTAGGGGACATAATTTATGGATTGGTCGTTTCAGCACACCATTCTGTAGTTTAAGCGCTACTACACGAACTTTTCCATCCAGTCCTGGATTACATTCCATAACTCTACCAAGCGGCCATTCAGCTGGTTGAGTATTTTCATCCTTTACGATTACAACATCACCTTCTTTTAAATTTTGCTGTGATGTTTTCCACTTGTTTCTTTGCTGAAGTGTGTGTAGGTATTCCTCCTTCCAGCGTTTCCAAAAATCACGCTGGATTTTGTGTATTACCTTCCATTTGTTTAAAGTGGATATATTTATGTCAGATTCTGGTGTTGGTATGGATATCAGTGGTCTCCCAATAAGAAAATGGCCTGGAGTTAAAGCGTCTACTCCGTTTTCGTCATTTAAGGCATATAATGGACGTGAGTTTAATGATGCCTCAATCTGTGCTAGGACGGTTGCCATCTCCTCAAACGTCAGCTTTGTTTATCCGATTGCCCTTTTTAAGTGAAATTTCATCCCTTTCACACCAGCCTCCCACATTCCGCCAAAATGTGGCCCTGCCGGGGGGATAAAATGCCAAGTAATTGCTTCATTAGCTAAGATTGGTGCAACTTCACAGTTTTGTTTTACTGCTTTTTTAAAGTCGTTGTCGAGCCATCTGCTTGCACCCACGAAATTAGTTCCATTGTCGGAGTAAATGTGTAGAGATTTCCCTCGTCTGCCAAAAAATCTTCTTAGTGCCGCCAGAAATGCTTCTGTTGATAAATCGCTGACTGCTTCCAAATGTATGGCTTTGGTCGAAAGGCAAACAAATACAGCGATGTATCCTTTGAATGATTTTTGACCTCGCCCTTTAGAACACCTCATTTGAAAAGGTCCGGCATAGTCTACTCCAGTATATGTAAAAGGACTGGATGTCGATACTCTGACTAATGGAAGATCACCCATGATTTGCGTTGCAGAAATTTGTTTAAATCGTATGCATTTGACACATTTACGTATACAATGTTTCACTGCGTTTTTTAGGCCGATTACCCAGTATTGTCGTCTGATGACTGCTTCCGTTAACCGATTTCCTCCGTGTATGGTTGCTTGATGAGCACCTTTAATAATTAATGCCGCCAAGTTTGATTTTGGTAAGATTATGGGATGCTTTGCATTATATGGTAGCTCTGAATTTGTTAGCCTACCTCCCACTCTTATTATGCCATTTTCATCTAAGAAGGGATTGAGGTTTGCTATTTTGCTAGAACTATTGACTGGTTTTCCATTACTCAGTTTGCTTATTTCTTCTTTATAGGTTTTCCTCTGTGTTTGGCGAATGATCGTCGAAGTAGCTGTCTGAAGCTCCCCAGCCGATAGATGTGAAAATTGGCGTTTTTCCTTCTTTCTACGAAAGCGTAAGATGTATGCTACCACTCTTTATAGTTTTAGCCAACTTGAATATTTGTTAATTAAATTGTCCAAAAAAGATTCTTGATCTCTCGACGTCAATAAAACCGTTACTTTGTTGCATTCGTTTATCGTTGTTGACTCTTGTTCTTCTGTTGATGAAAGCCACTTGGGTCCGTTCCACCAAATATCCATATTTAATAATTTGGGAGATGGAATACCTCTTGACGGAACATCTGCTGGATTGTCTTTCGTGTTCACGTGTCTCCAGGTTGCTTGTGGTATAAGTTTTTGGATTTCTTCCACTCGATTTCTAATGAATTTGTCTTTGTTTTTATGATTTTCAATCCAGCCAAGGGTTATTGTTGAATCAC